CTTGCAGATACTACTAATCCAGCATGTTGTACTGCATGGATAAAAGTAGTTATATGTTTTATATGTTCATCTATTGATTCAGAAAAGATCAGGACATCATCAATATAGACCTATCATAAATTGATAATATGCATCGAAAACATCATTCATTATTTTCTGGAATTCAGATGAGGCATTTTTCAATCCAAATAGCATTACATTCCATTCATATTGCCCAAATGGAACATTGAATGCTGTTTTATATTTATCTTTTTCTTGGATTTGTATTTTCCAGTATCCTGACTTCATATCAAATTTGGAAAATATACAAGCATTTGCTACTCGATCTAATAAACTTTTTTTATTAGGAATTAGATACCTTATCCATTGTAAAACTTTATTTAATGGCTTATAATTGATAACTAGTCTTGGAACTCCTTGTTCTTTTTCAGCATTTTTATTGATATAAAAAGCTGCACAACTCCATGGTGATGAGCTTGGTCTGATCAGCTTTTTTGTCTGGAGTTCAGCAATTTCTTTTTTACACATTTCAAGTAGAGTAGTATTCATTTGTATTGGTCTTGCTTTAGTAGGAATTTGTTTTTCATCAAATCCAAGTTCATATGGAAGGCCGATACTATGTTTTTTCCTATCCCAGAAAGCATTGGAATGTTCACTGCAGTTATAAACCTCTATCCCAGAAAACATATGGAGATTTTCATATGTTTATAGATCTACTTGATTTTAACCGTTTTAAAATTTTAAAATTTTATAATTAGATATAAAAATAGATTTTGAGATAATTCTAAAAACATTTTACATCACAATTATATATCATGATAAAATTTGCAGGTGCACCTTACCTCCTCTACGGCTGCGGATACATCCATATGCCAACTGCACCATATATATATATATATAAGGCTTCTTTGAGCTAATGGGCTCACAAGAAAAAATTAGCCCAATGGCCCAGATTGAATCTGGGCCGATCTAACGATCATGGATACTCGATAATGTTTGAATTTTAATGTTTTTTCTACATATCCAAATCACTTGAAATTTTATAAGTGTGTTGATAAAACTAGGTGAATATTCGAAAAATATTTTAAAAAATATTTATATGAAAAATATGGACCAAAATACCCCCGGAAATTTTTGGGGGTATTTTGGTATTTTTAATTTTATCGATTTTTTTTTTTCTAAATAGTTTTATTAGGTGCGTTTTGATGAGAAGAACATTCACAGAAATTGTCAAGTAATTTGGATTTGTAGAAAAAAATTTAAAATTCAAACACTCTCGGCCATTAGATCGGCCCAAATTCTTTTTAACCATTGGGCTTATACTATTATATGAGCTAGTGGGTATATATATATATATATATATATATATATATATATATAG